TAAATCATTTTTTTCATCCTGCATTCATTTCATAAAGATAAAAAGTAAAGATACTTTAATATTATTATTATGCTTACAAATAAACATACTATAGTTTGTAAAAGCTAAGAACAAAGTCTGAGGCCGTCTGTTGCTATGGAAAGAAGAATAGCGCATTTTAGGAATAGTAGCTTCACTCAACGCAATAGACCGAAGAGAATTTCCTTTCCACGCCGAAACAGTCACATCTCGTTACCATAGTCACCGCCACAGGTCCAGACGAAAGTCTGGTGGAGTTCTCATTTTAGACAAACTATACCCTAGCAACAAAGTAACTTGGGCCTTCATTGGACCAATATTCACGAATCTTGGTTCAAAGGGCCGTTGTTTTTCACATATTGTCCTTATATAGAATTTTTATTTTATATCCGTCGTTGAACAGTCGACCCGATTTTCGGGTTTACGACTACTAATGTTCAACTCCGAAGCCTTGTCATTTTGAACCAATCCAGAAGACAAGGGAACTCCTGGATCAGTACCCCCAGAGGTATTGATTTGGTATGGGAACATGGAAGACTTTGCGAATCGACAGATTTAACTTAAAATCTACAAAATTCAAAAAGATTTTCAAAATGTTTACATAATCATTATAAAATAACTAGTTTCTGATAATAGGATGCGTAGCCAAATTATTCAACAAAAAATAAGCACCTTTTAAGCACTTAAAAAATATTTTTAAGAAATTAAAAAAAAAATCATAACTAGGCAGGGTTTGGAAAATTTTTGACAATTGACGGTCTTATCTTGTTTTAACCGTCATGTCCAAAAAAAGAAAAAAAAAAAAACTTCTGGCAGTATTTTTGACAATTGTCAAAAATCATGAAATTTTGAATAATTTAAAACGAATGGCGTTTTCATACGCTATTGACTGACAATACGCCGAAATAGATTGGGGTTGAATTAATTGTAAAAACGTTGAATAGAACTATGTGTGAACTGTGTCTTTTTGCATAATTCGAAGCGAATATCTACATTGTAAAGGAAAAATCTCATTTAGAAAAAGGGAAAATTAAACACTTTTTAAAAACACCCAATGAAAAAGTACCTTTAAAAAACGAAAATAAGCACCTTTAAAAAACGCTACGCACCCTGGATAAACATTGCAGAACTGAAAAATCATGCATTTTTTGTAATTTAGAGCAACAATCGATACGGCAAAGAAAAAAAAAATCTCTTTTTAAAAGACAGAAAATCAAGCACTTTTTACGAACTTTGAATAATAAAAAAACGACACCCTTAAGGTCTTTTAAATAACGTAACTCAAAAACAAGCACCTTTAAAAAACGCTACGCTTGAGTAAAAAATGGCACAAACACCTCCTTGAAATCGATCAATGGAAGCATTCCGGCAAAAAATATTCGGATCATGAGGTTCTGATTCCTTTCAAATATTTTGGGAAATAATTTACCAAAGCCTAATCTTTTACTTTCTATTATTTCTAATTATATTTACCCGTATGCCCTAAATAAGGGCGGGTCGGGGTAAATTCTTCCATTATTTCTAATTACAGTGAAATCCCGTTTTAGCGATATCCGAAAATTTCAATGTAACGAATATACAAGAAGACTGCAGATTTAGAAGATTGTCCTCCTGTTCAGAATCCTTAAATTATGCCATACAAAACAATAAATACAACAGTTTTACATAAAAAAGGAGAAAATATCTATGTTAATATCAGATACCATTCAGGGGTGATTGTGAGCCAGATTCAAAAATCCTGAAAATTTCTCCAATAAAATCCTTAATTACGTATTTCAAAAAAATTTAAGTCTTTATAAATTTAAATCATTGATATTTTCACAACATGAACTTCTAAATACAAACTTATATGCAGCATAATTTAAATGAATAATTAAGCATAAGTTTACTTGTATCTCTAATCGCATTTAACATTCTATCAGAAAAAATATTTACAAATGAAAGAGATGCCAAGTATAAATTTTGAGTTCGAATATTTTTACATAATTTTTTTTTTTAATACATAAACGTGATCAATAATTTCTTGAAACTTTTGGACCTTGGATTTCCGGAAAAATCCGGATTTTTTCCGGATCACAATCATGTCTGTCATTGTAAAAGTGATTTATGATGCTGTAAAAATGTTTCCATTTTGTCAAATAAAAAACCATTATAAAAACTGTATCTATCCATTTTTTTTTATTTCGTTTTACAAAGTAATATTTACAAAAATAATAAGAAACAGGTTTAGCAAGGCTTGGGGGGCTTCTTTTACAAACAGTTTATATATATATAGGCATATATATTTGAATAGGTCAAACATTTAATTACACATGAAATTTAAGGTGATACAGAGATGCCAACTTAGAATGAAAAATTTATTTAGGTTTTAATAACTTCATATAAAAAAAACAACATAAGAGAAATCTTTTTGCAAAAAGAATTTTAACACTTATATGTCACAGGGTCATGGCTGCCAACACGGATAGGAAAAAATCCAGTAGATTTTACAAAATAATATAAATTTCAAGATAATTGCTGCAAAATATACTAAACATTTTACATATATCGAATTTTTATAGTCATCAAGATAGAAAAACTGCAATATTTTTCAGTTAGGATTTCACATTAAATGATCTTGAAATGTTATGCATTAGGTTTATTCATAATTTTGAATAACAATATGCATTTAACTCTTTGACATACGAAGACGTCATTTGTTTCTTATGTCAAAACAATAATTGACGTGTCTCAGGCGTCTTTAACACAGAGATGCCAACTTGCTCCGGACACCAAGTATATAGTTTAAAGTGGTAGTTTATCAATTGTGATTCTTGGTTTAATAAATTCAATTAAGTAGATTTTTATCCAACACTATTTTTAAATAATTAGCAGGCTTATTTAATTCACCACTTTATAGTAGTTATGTCATGCTATACCTTTTAAATAGCAAGCAAAAATAGTCAAATATTTGCCACATTTAGTTAGTAGTTATTTACAGTTTAAAAAAAAAAATAATTATTTTGGCGTGTCCGGAACAAATTGGATCTCTGTCAACATTCCGTTGCGAGTTGTAGTTTACAGTACAATCGAAGATCATTTCTATATCAAGAAATGTTTAATGATATGTCAAAGGGTTAATTCATCAAAGATAGTAAACAGAATTTTATAAATGAGGCTCGCTTCATTATGTATTAGTGACACTTATCTAAATATATAACAAAATTCTATTTCAATAAGGGTTTTTTAAGGAAACTCACTCAAATTTAGGGAATTTTCTAAAATGTACAAAAACCAGGAAATTTTTTATTAAATCAGAAGAAACTGGCAAAATCCAGAAGAGTTGGCAGCTATGCAGAGTAATTTTGTTATTCGTTGGAGTAGATTTTACAGGTTTATCTACAGTTTGTCTTGATTGAGTAGACCTATCACATTTTTTGCATATTTGTCAGATCTTTTCCTTAATCAGATCACAGTCAGATCTTTTCATTTTTCAGATCACAGTCAGATCTTTTCATCTTCAGATTTTGAATTCATTAAAACAAAGGAAAATGCTTAAAACAGAACCTCAGAAAACACCTTCTCCCCTTTTCAAATTTAATTATCAAAGAAATTTTCATAATTGTACAAATAGAAAGGTATTCAAAGGAAAATTACACCATTTATCCTTTACAGATTCATTTCCTTCGTAAAAGGGTTGATGGTGACGACCCCGAAAATTGTAAATGCAAAAATTCAATATCAATTTATATATACATGATTCGTATTTAACATAATTTTTTGAAATAAAATTAAGAATTATATTACCTACCAATGACGAATATCACAACCTTATAGATGTCGGATTTTGAAATTGCATGAACACGAATCACGATACATAAATTTCATAATCGTGTGAATATGAATTGCGATATTGGATCATAAAAACACGTGATTACTAATCGCAATGCGTAGTTTTTAAATCACGTAAAAATAAGAAAATTGATGTTTGATACTACAAATGCATGAATATGAATTGCAACATTGGATTTTAAATTCGTGTAAATACGAATCTCAAAATTAATTTTAAAAATGTGTAAACATAAATTGTGACCTCAGAATTTTAAATCATGTGAATACGATTTACGATTCTTAAATCCCATGAATACGAATCACAACATAAACTTTTTAAATTAGGTAAATACGAAAATCGATGTTTGATATTCAAACCGCGTGAATAAGAATATTAGCGGAGAATATATCTCTTATTTTAGTAAATACAAAGAGGAAGTTTAATCAGGATTGCCACTTAAATCAGGAAGAAAAAAAAATTCCCTGTGTTTTCCCTGTACATATTATACACAACACATTAAGAGGAAAAACACAATCACTGTGATCTTGTGTGAGATATATTGGGCTAACTATATTTATCAGTTTTAATAGCTAGAAAAACAGCTGAACATACTTAAATAATGCTATCAGGGGTCTGTCCAGACATTTTGTGAAAGGTCCGTTTTTGTAAAATTGTGAAAAAATTACTCGTAATTTGTGAATATAAATAAACGTTAAGTCACGTTAGGTCCGCTTTTGTGAATTTGTGCAAATTGGGTCCGTTATTGCAAAAAAACTTTTTTCAAGGAGCTTTTTAAATTGTAAAGACATACAAGATTTTACTCAACACTGTAAAATTATAATTAAAAAAATTTAATTTTAAAAAATAAACAGCAATTGCAGCTACTAAATTAGAGATGCAGCATATAAATATTTGGTATTTAGCCTATACTGCTGAACACAGAATATTCATTTCGGACGAATAAAGGAAGAAGTGTCTGCCTAAGACAAAATTTAGTTCGTTTACATCTGTCTCTCCTCCCCCCCCTCCCATTCCTGGGAAGGGTTTATTCGATTAACAAAACAATAATGAAGATAAACAAATTTGTGAAGGGTCCGATTAAAAGAAAAATCATTTTGTGAAGGGTTCGTTTTTAAGTTAAAATATTTTGTGAAGGGTCCGTTTTTATGAAAAGATATTTTGTGAAGGGTCCGTTAACCGACCCAAATTTCTTCTAAACAAAGCCCATAGATTACACCTTGAGTGGTCATCATTTTTAAAAAAACGAAAATAAGAAACAAAATTCCCTGTATTTTCCCATTTTGTAAAGAAAAAAAAATCAAAATTCCTCACATTTTCCCTTTTATTTTAGATGATTTTTAAATTTCCTGTATTTTCCAGGTTTTCCTTGTGGAGTGGCAACCCTTTTAATGCATAACTCAATTACATAAATTCACATTTAACTTTACAAACATATGAATCAACTCTGATATGTGTACCCATTTAAAAAAATATAGTCAGCTAACACATGGCAGTTGGCATCCCTATACTACCTTCAAAAAGAGTCACCTTAACGGAATGGTTCCCAAAGCTATATTATTTATCATGCTATTAAAAACATTCTTCGTTTTACAGGAACCAGTTTTTTTTTCAAACCTACAAATTGATAAGTTACCACAAACACATTTTGCTTAACCACACACAGCAAGCAAGTAAATTTCAATATTATTTTTTTTTCTTCTTCTTCATCATTTTAATGGCAAATTGTTGACTACTTGGACTGGTCAAGAAGGTCATTTGAAGGTCGCTTTTGGCAATTCTATAACTTCCTAAAGAGAATAGAGAGAGAGAAAGAGAGCAAGAGAGATCTATTTAAGAGGGCGTTATAAAACAATAAATAAGAAGAAATACTCAATATTTACAAGAGTATATATATTTATAGTATATATTTATAAATCAAATATATATAACATATTTACGAGTCATTATTTTGCATTCGATGGGTCGATGGATTGCACTGTTTTAAAAAAATGTCAATTTTGATACTGTCTATACAAAACAATCTATTCAATTTTGATAAATATCAGAATGTCAAATGACATCTAAGCACTGGAAAATAAAAAACAAAATTTCTCTTAAAAAAAATTGGAAAATTACAAAATAATTAGAATTACATTTAAAATTATATATTTTTTTTACTACAAATACAGACTGGAAGAAATGTCACCTCACTAATTACATAATCAGCGATCACTGAAATATTAACTCTGAAAAACTATGTTTATTTTTCTTTTCTTTTTTATAACAGTATGATAAAATCTAAGGCCACGGCAGATCAATGGTGTTGTTTACGGTGAACAGTGCAATTTTCTTATAAAGGTGCTCGAATCGGTGCCACCGTAAACTCAACAATGTACATAAACACATTTTTATTTTCCAATGAAAATTTACAAAATGCAAAATAAAACTCTGCCTATATTTTCATTGATATAAATAATTTAAAAAAAAAATGCTCAGTGTCTAGTTGAAGATAAATTAAAAATGCACGTAACTATGATTTTTTTTTAAAAATATACAACGTATGAATAATTAACAGAGGAGAAAAAAAAAAGGTGCTTCTATTTACAAAATGAAAATAAGCACACTGGAAAAAACTCCAACAGATACTTAACAGGTGCTTATAGATTAACATTTCAATAGTTTTTGTGGTATAGTGGCACAACTGGCATAGTTACAACTGGCGTAGTTCAGCCTTTAGTCTAATGCATAGATATGCAGCATAGTTGTCATTCCACATGGCGGGTCATAAAATTAATACTGAAGAAAAAAAAATTCACTCTAGATGTAAGTTAGTTCATGATGAGCATCAGAAACGTAAGCCCCACGTCAGATTCTCAAACAGTTCGTTCGAGAAAGGCTTCGTCAATACAAGTAAGTGATGCACGTATCGTCCGTAAAAAAAAGCACAGCTTTTTTTTTTAGATATTTTTTAAGAGGTAATTTTAAGATACATGACATTTACTTGGGAAGGAGGCGCCTGCAAGAATCTTCTGACAGCAGCAAGGAACACATTTTTTTTTTTTTGTAAATGCCAGTTTTCTGCAGGAAATCTCACAACTTAAAAAAAAAATTTTTTTTCAAAAAGAGTTCATTCGTAAATCACACGATAGAAGAAATTAATATAAAATGCTGAGCAAAGATACAGCACATCATTCCCATTCGCATGCACAAACTCCACAAGTGAAAAAAAAAAATCTGTCACTTTTTAATTCTTGAGATCTATCGACACCAGCATGATTATGGAATGTTGGACGAGCATAGTGGTGAAACACGTTTTGCCAGCATAGCCTATATTTGTCAGCAACTTATTCTTTTGTCGGCAGAGAGCGACTATAAATAAATCTTTTTGACTTTTTGCACGGGTCTATTGTCGGCAGAGCTGTTGGCGGTCTTTCCGTTCCCGTTTTTTGGAGGTACGTTGAGGACGAGGTTGATGGGTTTGTTGGTGGTAGGAGAGAGGAAACCTTCCGTGTGGTTCAAATGGGGAGTGTCGCAGCTGCCCCGCTGTTCTAGATAGTGGGAGTCGTCGTAGGGAGAGTCCACTTCTTCAGATTTGCATCTCCTACTGAAGATATAGCCACTGATGAAACCAACAACTAAAGATGAGACTATACTAGTCGTGACGGCTATGGCGAGTGTTTCAGCAGTGTACATGTACTGATGACCTCTTGATGCTCCAGCGGTTCCACCTGATCAAAAAATTATATCATTAATACAAACAGCCATTAAAAAAAATAATAAATAAATCACTATCATATTTGCCAACATTCATAAGAAAAAATCCAGTAGATTTTATGAAATAATATAAATTTCATGATAACTGTTGCATAATGTACTAAATATTTTACACATGGGGAATTTTACGGATTTTTATAGTCATCAAAATAGAAAAATAAAAAAATTTTCCAGTTATGATTGACATTAAACATACTTGAAATGTTATGTATTATGTATACTCATAATTTCGAATATTAAAAGGCATTTAATTCATCAAAGATAGTTAAAAGATTTTTAAAAAAAATTAATTTAACTCTCTTACAAACAAATGCTTTGAACTGCTTACTTTTAATGAGGTTTGCTTTATTATGTATTAAAACTTTATTTAATTATTCAAAGAAGCAAGCAATTATCTGTACAAAAATTCTATTTCAATATGGATTTCCTTTGGAGAATTACTCAATTTTAGGGAATTTTCTAAAATGTAGAAAAATCAGGAGAATATTAATTAAACTAGTAGACCAGAAAAAACTTCAAAACTCTAGTAGTCTACTGGAAAATTCAGTTAAGTTGGCAGCTATGCGCTGTTAATGAAATACTTTTCTACACAAAGGACTTTGATAGGATTACCAATTCAGTATAAATTACCAGAGTCAATTTAATGCTAGTATAAAAGATTTGCGATTACTAAAAATATTGCCATTGCAATAATTTACCATAGGTTATCATTGAAGCCACTAGCATGAAAGATTTATAATTACTATCAACATTACCACTGGTATAAAAAAAATTGTAATTACTGGAGACACTAACATGGTGAGCTAATCACTAGCATAAAAGATTTTATATTTTATAATATAAATGTTGTTGAACAGCTGACCCAATTTTTGGGTTTACGACCACTAATGTTCACTGCCGTAGCCTTGCGATTTTGAACCAATCCAGAAGAAAAGTAAACTCCTGGATCAGTACCCTCAGAGGTATAAATTTGTTATGGGAAACTGGAGGACTTAGTGACTTGACATATTTAACGTGCATCAGTCACCATTTTACTACACAGTGAGTCTTCGTCCGGCGAGGACCAAACCCACGACCTCTTGGACATGGGCCCAGTGCCCTACAAATCAGGCTATCTTGGCCCCAGCATAAAAGATTTGTTTTAAGTAGAGACATTACTATAGATGTAACTTAAAAATATTGCAGTGAATAAGAGATTGCCATACAAAATTTGTAATAACACAGCACACATTTACACAGACAACAAATAATCTTTTTAGTAAAATATTAAAACAGAAAGGTATATTATTCAATCGAACCAACACACATTTTTGTAACACAAGGAAAATCTCAGTTCTTGACACAAAAAAACAACAACTTATATCCAAGAATAAATTTTCCACGACAGATCTTAAGCCAGAACTTCATTTTGAAAGGAGTTCAAGTTCATATGAACCCATGCTTATGCATAAACATTTAAAACCAGTTAATTAATAATATAAAATATTTGTTTTAAACAAATTTAAAACTAAATTTATTACACTAGTTTTAATAACTTGCATTTTTCTTCCAATCTTCCTCTTATTGTTTAATTTCAATATATATACACTAAAGTAGCATTTAGATTGCAGAATATTTAGATAAATTTTAAATATATCCCTGCAATATAACATGCTTGGAGCAAAACAATTTAAGTCCACAGACTATGCGGACATGTATATATATATAATATAACTAATTCAAATAAATTCGTTTTTTGTAATTTTAGTAAGGAGAATCTTTTATCCTTCGTTCAAAACAGAAAAAAAAACTTTTAACTGGTGAAATTTGTTTGCTTATTTTTTAAGGTATCCCTAAAACATTTGAACCCAGTTATTAAAAGTCATATTGCAGAAATATTAAAACAGCACATAACACTCCCAGAAAGCATGTAACCTTTCAGCAACCTTGTGTTGGAATTTTCTTTTGCTTGTACTAAAAACCTTTTTTTGATAAAGAAAAAATATTGCTGTTTCAAACCTTTCATCCTAAAAGGATTAAAAATTATTTTTTAAAGCTTTTTAAAAAAGTATTGTCACTTAGGTTCATAACGACATTTTAGCTGATGTCACACTAGCGATAGGATCAAATTGTATCGTCCATTAAAATTTCCTGACAAGGTGGATTTTAGCTGAGCATGCAAGATGTTGCTAAAAGAAACCTTATAATTACCCAGATTTAAGATTATTTTCATTTTAAGACTAGCTTTATTTAAGGATTTTTTCACGCTAAGACAACCTCGATTAAAGGTTTTAATATAGAATGTTGTTTTCCGAGGTTTCAGATTAGGGTAATGTGTATAGAATAGAGCAGATTGTGACTGGTCTTGTTTTAAGATTAGAAGGTTTACACATAAACCAAAATAAAAACCTTTTTAGGCTTACATTTTTGCTGAGTGAAAATAAATCCTATTTTGTTATCTAGGATTGATATTAGTAGAAAATGCATTTAGCCACAGGTAAATACATTAAAAAAAAAAGAAAAGTAGAAGGTTAACACACTGAAAAACTTTTGGTCAAATGATCGGATTTTAATGCACTCTAATAGTTAAAAGCACTTAAACATGCCAATTAATTAGCGCAGACGTTCTCTCTTAAATTTCAAAATCAGGCCCAAAAATGTACTTTCTCTAAATCAGGGGTTTCCAACTTGCATGAGGCGGGGGGCCACAATTAAAAGCACAAATCAAATGGTNAAATAAGAAAGAGCAACATACACAATTATTTTTGTATTTGAATAAATATTTTCTTGGATGCAAAACCTGAAAAATAAATTTCTTTGCACCGTTGGTATGTTAAATTTCACAGAAACGAAGAAATTAGGTTTTTATTAACGAGAAAAGTATTTTAAACCCATATAGATTTTTTACAAAAATTGTCCGTAAAAAAATGGCAACTAATATATGTTCGCGGGCCACAAAAAAAAAGGCTTTGCAGGCCGGATGCGGCCGCCAGTTGGAAACCCCTGCTCTAAATGAATATACCTTTTTACCCCTATCAGATTTGGATTTTGGACTGTCAAAATATGGGGGAAGCTAAATGTGGAAAATACGGTCTTAATAATTTAGGCAGGATCTCAACTTTTTAAACAAAGTCAAATTTTTTTTGCATACAATTATAAATTTAGTTATTTCAAAGATAGTTTATTCAGAGGTAATTATAAATTTAGTTTAATTAGAGATAATAGAAAAATTATTTTGAAATTATTATTTAATTTAATAGCAAAAAAAATTTGAATTGTAATGAAAGGTTTTACATAATTTTAAAGAAACTTTCAAGTTTTAATGGCAAAATACGAAATTGCTTAAAATTAAAAATCCTTTTTACTATAATGAAATGAAATAGTAATAAATAATTATAAGAAAATTTTTTTTGTGTGCAAAATTCTTTCAATCCGCTTAAAAAGTTTCAAATGTGGTGAATGACCCAATAAATAAAATTAACATTGAGAGATAAAACTGTAGACCACCCCCTGCCTAAACTAGAAGAACTATATCTAAAGATTGCTGACACTATATTTTGCGATTCAAGAATCAAAATCCGTGGGGGAAAAAAAGAAGAAACATTTATATAGAGAAAGTACGTTTTTATGCCTGATTTCATAACTTAAAAAAGGGTTAGCACTTATTAGTTAGTATATTTATGGTTGGGCTTTCAAATTATAACAATTGTGATTAGTATGCCAAAAATCTAATTTTATTTATTGATTATTAAAATAACATTAGATCAAAAGATATTAAAGGTGTTCCCTTTCTTATTTTGTGCATTGTTCAATGAAAGCACACAGAAAACTTATAGATAATAATAATAAAAAATTCCATATTTTATTCGGAATAGTTAAATGTAAGACCAAACATTAGACTAGAAATCTTTTATTTGGACTGATAAACAGTTTGAAGTTGATTATTGAAGAATTTCTACTATCTATTTTGCAAAGAAGAGTTTTAAATGCCTTCTTTTGAAACTAGCTTTAATAACAAGTTAATTTTTTTCTTTTAAAATAAAAAAAAAAAAGTCGAAACCACAATAGGGAAACTAAATTCTTCCGTAAAGGCTGCATAAAAAAAAACTACTATTTGGAGACTGTGTCCATGCATATCATTTTAGAGGAGGACCTTTCATTAATAGGAGAGTCTGGCATTTGTGACAAGCCATAAGGATGCAAAAAAAGAGGAATAGCCTGAATAATATTTGATCTTATGATCAGATTTTCACATACTAATACTCAATCTTAATGGTTCGAGGGCCTTACCCCTTGGAGATATTTTAAAGTATAAAATCAGACAAAAGAGCATACTATCTCTAAAAAAAACATACATTTGTATAGCCGCAAAATATAAACGCTGTTGAACAGCCGACCCGATTTTGTTTAACTCCATAACCTTGTAATTTTGAACCCGATCCAGAAGACAAGGAAACTCCTGGATCAGTACCTCCAGAGGTATGATTTGCAATGGGCACAAGGAGGACTTTGTCATCCGACAGATTTAACGTGCACCAGTCAGAATCTTCAACCAGCGGGGATCGAAACCCACGACTTCTTGGACGTAAGCCCAGAGCCCTACCAACCAGGCTAGCTCGGCCTCTTTCTGATTAGCTTTGCACTTTTATGCCGCAATATGGGAAATAGGATCGCTATAGTTGGACGAGAAGAGAGGTCAAAAGTTAGGATACTTAAATGTTAAATTTACTTCTTACATATTTCGCACTCTTGAGAACTTTTTAAGAGAATCGAAAAATCTTTGCACATAATTATAGAATTCATAAAAACTGAAAATAATTCAACACTAAAAATAATTTTTATTATTATTTTTTTATAATTTTTATTATTTTATAATTATTATTTTATTAAATGAGTAAAAAAATTTGAATTGTAAGGCAATGGTAATTGTAAGTTAGGCATTTATGTTATGTTTTTTTTAAACATAATTTTCCAA